TTTTTAGTTTCGGTGTAGAATCGCTCGAGTTATTGCAAAATTGCAAAAACTTTTCCCAAAAGAAACGTTTTTGATCGACTTGTAAGTGTAACTGAATAACTGTATCAGACGTTATAATTTGTATATCTTGGAAAAAGAGGAAATAAATTCGTTGATGGCTTGTGCTAACAACAGCAATTCCTAATTTCACGTTTTCCACATCTTCGTGGATGAGACGAAAGAGGTAAGAACTGAAACGTGCCACACAGGGCACAATTCAGTGCGGACACTGATGTGAGTTATTGTGACCCACGACAATACTTATTTGCTTAAATATTTATAATAGTGACATCAACGAGAAGTCTGTCCTCCAATTGAACATGAGTAAGAACTCATCAAAATGAATGTGATTCATCTTGTTATACAAAGCTATGGTGGAGTATAGCGAGTGTTTATCAGGCGTATAACTTAACAGAAAAAGCAGTCAGACATAGAAGTCTTTCTCGTATTGTCGCTTCTTTTGTACCTATGCCCTATGGAAATAATCGCCTTGCTGGCTTTACGACCCTGGTCGAATTTATGAATGAAAGGGAGGTAGATGTTTACGAAAATATTTTCAAATTTCAGTTATTTCTACTAATCATTACGGAAATGCCAGTTGATGGAGAAATTAGGTGAAGCTTCTTTAAATAAAAAAAAGGAGATAACTGAATGAAATTGAAAGACAATCCGTGAGGAAGTTTATGGGTATTACCAATCAAGCTTTCAGAACAGGGAATAGTTTTGTAAATATCAGCATTCGGACGGGTTTAACTTTAAGGACGAGGTTAGCCATGCTTGCGGAAGTTCTGGAGTTGGTTACATCACCTACAACCATTCCATTTGAGACCTGATATGTTAATGGTTGTTTTTTTTTTTACTATCGGCTTGATGCGTTTAATAGTCGCGACGATGAAATTATCTTTTATCTGGTTTTAGTATGAAAAGTAAGACAAGTGCATTGTGTCTGATCACAGTTTCTCTACTCACCAAACCTCTATGACTTTCGAAATAACAAATGTCACTTTTTTAACGGGCATCAAACTGTGGCATCATTTTTTGTTCCGAGCGAGTTGAGAAGTGATTTGGCCTCTGAAAAATTCAAGCGCTTGAAAGCGAGACTTCTTGGAAACTTCAAATTTATTAAACATTAAAATATAGGGAATTTGGATCAAATGGATCTGTTAATGATGCATGACACAAAAAGGTTATCATGAGGATGTAAAGTATGGGAAAAGTGGGATGACATCTCTGAATAAATTCTGGCTCTATGCTTTTCCTTTGTTCTGAAAAACCAGAAGAGTCTTCATTACGGGCATAAATGCGATGTTTGTTTTTCCGAACCAATGTGCATCCGAGTTGTAATCCTTTTAAGTTATTTCAACCCTTCTAATGTAACTGAGTTAAAATCACGGTAATAATAAAACCTGGTTTTGATTCATGAAACCAAAATAGTGATGTAAAACCAAAGTTTATTTTTTCCATCAACTAGTGATAACTTAAATTACATTTCTTGAGATTAAGAGGGCTGATCAACGAGTTTCTCCTCACAAGATTGGCTAACTATCATCTCGCTAATACAGTTACAGTTGTCAATTTCACTTAAGCTAAATGTCTCTCCAAGTGTTGTCTTGTTTCCTATCAGATCCATCACATATAATTACAGATGCCCGTGAAGAGTCTTACGTATGATCATTGCTACGATCGACGGTGGACTGTTGTTGGTTGCCTATCGTCAACAGAATTTAGGTAGGTCACCATCTATTATTTTAAGAATAGATGGATCAATGGATTTCTTTTTGAAGTCTCTGAAAGCGAAATGTCTGTCGTTTCAGCTAACGATCAAACTGCTAGAGATCGCAGCCCTGTGCATGGTTTGCGCGGTTTTGTCTGTTTTCGTGAGAGTCGTTTAGTTACCTGTGTTGTTAATCCCGTGTCATTTCAACACTGCACGGCCGAAGCTTATGCTATTTTAAACCAATTTTGTGTGTCTTATTGAGTTACTTACGAAACAGACACCTTTACTATGGCTAGAAGCCCCTCCAGTTTCGTTTTCCAAAGCACGGTGATCCAAAATCTGCAACTCAGAGCAGCCCTTCCGCGACAAATTCCGCCGGGTTGCCAATAAACTAACCATACGGTTACAAGGGTATCTTGCTCGAATCTCCAACTGAACATGTACACAGACCGCGAGGGATTTCTGGGTCAGTTTTGTTATCATCTACGTTGGCATTGTCGCTTGATACAAGCGCTTTTCCTTCGCACGGTTCAACCGTACCTGCAACTTCCAGACATAAATTCTTTGCTCTCAGTTCATCAGTTCAGGAGCATTTCGAGGTTAACCACAACAAAATTGCATTAGACATACAAGATGTCCACGCGTCAACTAAGACTTTTAGCTCTTTTGAAATTTCTCTTTTATCGCACTAAATTGGTTTTTACATATGATAAGATAAAAAGGAGCGGGATAAATATTAATACCCCTTAAAGGCGGTTAAGACTCCACTCCGACATGATTGTCGATGTACATGCGTATTGTTTATTTCCGGTTTGCTCAGCCATCATGTTACGCGAGATAAGCGTCAATTCGTTTATCGAGCTCCACTGACTATCACACAGTATTTTTAAAACTTAAGCTCTCATTTTTGCTATCATTTTCAACTGAACAAACAAGGCAGACTCAGGGCTCTATGCCAAAATACACTGAACCTGATTCAGTTGTGGATGGTAAGTGATGTAAGCTTCATTCGCTTGATGTAATTTGATCTAATCATTAACTTCATGAGCCGTAATTTAGACTCTTGATGATTTGCATACCACGAGCTTCTTTTGTGTGAAAATGAAAATGTAGCAAACGATAGTTGAAATATGGTTTAGTTTCTCAGCCAAATTTTCTTGCCATGAGGTCTACTCCCTAGATTAGGCTAATACTGCAATAATTCCTCAACCATACAAATGCTACATTCTAGAGAACGATTCACGTGCCGCTCTAACTATGGAGATTTGAAATCGCCTTGGTTTAGCTCAGCTGGTGTTAATAGAGTTTTTCCAAGTTTATTCCAACACTCAGTCAACCATACGAGTATCAGCGGGAAATGCACAAACTGACGCAATATCTTGTTCAAATTTTTATGTCTCTTGTCCGATAGATTAATATGACTGATAAAGATCCTATGTTAATTTGCATCTGAACGAAAGAGTGTTTTGCAGAACTTTTTTCTATTGAATTAGCTTTCGTTCTCATTAAACGTTTTCTTTGCACCCGAGCAAAAAGCAAGTACGTTTTAGTCTTCAAAGAAGCTGAAGAAAAATATTTGGGTGGTCCCAGTTGTTCAGCGTCAATTATTTTGCTGATGCTGGTTTTGAAGATAATTTTTCAAAAAAGCATTCCTTATACGTATTGTATTGCGCTGCGCAGAAAAAATTTATTCTGACTGCTTCTTTTGATATCACTGCGATACGATCTTAACAAAAACTGAAAACGGAAGGCTGTATTCCTAAACTTAAACGTTTAGGAAACGTAAAGCTGCAAAGCGCCGCGTCAAAGCGTCATTCCTAGCTTCTGTCAATCTACCGTCCACAGTCAAACATTAGTTGAACTCTTTCATCAGCACTTGAGCTGATAAAGACTCTTGAGGAAATGTACTGCACCTTTAAACATACAGGCCAAAGTTGACTACAAATTCTTGAAGTCAAATTAAAGAAACAACGATAGGAAACGTGTCAATTACAGTTATGAAGGAAAGCTTCATGAATTCATGAAAGAGAGCTTTTCGTTTGTGCTCTATTAAACAAGTATTTACTCAGGCACTCTCTTGAGGGGCGTTAAACTACCGCGTTTTATCGAAAGACTAAATCGACAAATCGATGTCAGATTTCCATCGGCAAAAATAAATATAGCGGGAGGAAAGTTTTTATGTAAATTTAATGCCTCGAGGGAAAGTTATATATTCTTCTGAAATTAAACTTAATTCATCGTCTGCTATGTCAGCATGACAGCGCGCATTGCAGAACCATCTCATTATTTCATTGTCATGAACCTGTCAAAACTGCACGGGATCATTTGCATGCAATTCAAATTCAAAAGGAGGGCTATAAGGTAAAAATAAAATTGACCTGAGCGACGCTTCCATCAGGGAATTTTGACATTAAAGTCATCCGAAATGAGACGTGTGCTTTCCTATGATTATGGAGGCTATGAAAACGCGGGGAAAGGAAGCAAATTTATGAGGAATTTGTCCGCACTTTCTATGCATTGTTACGATCAACCATCATAGAATTCTAAATAACAATCCATGCATTACAAGACGCCATTATCTTAAAGTTAAACTATTATGTTTATTATTGAACTAAACTGCGTGTTATTTGCACAGTGCATTATTTTTTGTCGAACTAATAGATCCCACTGAAGGTCTGTCATTGACTCACAACTGTTCATGATCAACAACAAACCGACCAATTCACAAAGAAGTAAAATGACATACGTAGAACATAATTTCGTCTTAAAAAATCTCCTTTTTGATCTTTAATTTGATCTGGAATTTCCCCATGCAAGGAGGGTTTCCTTTGTTTGTTTATTTTTTGTTTCTCAAGTTTATGAATGGTTTTCGCAAGTTTGACCTCTTGCCTACTTGAGCCCCAATTAGTTTTTTTGTGACTTTGAAAGCGGAAGACACAAGCCCGTGTTCTACGTGCCTTGAGTATTGATTTCAGCCTGCCTGGCTGTTAAGGAGAGATGCGTACGAGACCCGCATTAATATTCATAGCAAATCATTTTGAAATGGTTAAAAAAAGAAGTGATCAGGATTAAGCTCAGTAGTTCATCAGGGTTCGTCAGTCTCGAGCCACTGAATTTTCAAACCGTTGGATTGGGGAAGCAACCTTGTCGATATTGCCTAAAGGTATACCGTGTTTCTTATTTTAGGTCAACCTAAAAAAACGCTAAGATCAGTGCAGTTGAAATGTAATCTTTATTATTTTATCTTTCTGTAGTACTAAGAGGTTACAAGTTTATAAGCTGGCAGCGGTCTTCAGTGCATTCTATCCGCAGGTACGTCGAATTTCAACGCTTTCTAACTTACAATAACTTGGAGGGAAACAAGTTGACGTTGTAAGGCGGATATATAGGCAAATTGATTTTCTGCCTCCAAACTAAAACTAATGATGTTTCAGTCCATCAAAAATTATTATATAGATGCGCCAACGGTACCGGTGTCTCCAATAAGATATCATACGTTATCTTCATTCATTATTTTCATTCTACCGGAAATTAAATTGCGAATGAAAGATTAGTGAAAACGAATATGCTATCGCGATCGTTTCTCTCTGATAACTTGTGTTATTAGTATAATACGAACAAATGAAGGAACCGGGCAGAAAATTGAAAAAAGATATTTCTGAAAGTTATCTTTTTTTATCGGGACAGTCCGACGTTGAAGAAGTGCACTAGTTTTCTGAATGAACATGACAAACAAGCAACGCTTTCGTCATAAAAGCAAACCAACAACAAAGACCAGTAAATATTTATTTTAAGGTTGAGAATACTTAATGCTTCTATGCAAAAATGCTTAACCATCACTTCAATGCTTAGATTTTTCACGTATCACAAGGTTATTTATGGAGAAAATAAAAATGTCCTGCTGCATTCCTTTTCCTTTTTCCAGTATTTCCGTTCCTGTTCACGGCTTCAGTGACGTCCTGAAATATCATCGATTTAACAGATGTGAACTTGGTTTAAAAATGCAAAAGAATTAAGGACTATTGTTTCCTTTGAATTCACAATCGATTCCTCTCATCACACCCCAGGTTGGTATCGAATAGGATTTTAGGGGGCCATGGGTATTCCCTTTATTGATTATTTATTCGGTCATAAAAGTCTTATCCTATTCAACTTTAGCAACAAAAAAAACAGGAACTAAAGATGAAAACAGAAATCGAGTGGATCATAGCAGTTCTTTACGCTATCACGATGCTCGTGGCGTTTACAGGAAATGGCTTTCTCATCTACATCGTGTGGAAGAAACCCGAAGTCAGATCACTAACAAGCTTCATGTTCGTCAACATCGCCATCGCCGATTTGCTGGTAACGTTGATTGTGATGCCCTGGTCGATTTTCATGATATATACCGACGGATTGTGGATGATCCCGGGTGTATTTGGAAAAGTCATGTGCAAAGGTATTGTATACACTGCCTATGTTTCTATAACAGCATCCGTCCTCTGCCTGACATTCATGGCGATCGACAGGTACTATGCCATCGTTCATCCCCTTCGCCGCCATCTTTGGTTTCGAAAACCTAAACCAATCGTTCCGTTTATTTGGATCGGGTCGCTGGTCTCCATGTCCATTTTCCCTGCTGTTCAAAAGGTGGAGGATCACAATGATTCTTCTTATTGCATGCTATCTGTTTACAACTTGGGTGATTCAGATAGGGCTCTTCGAGGAATATACCTCCTCCTCTTCGTCATCAATTATCTCATCCCCTTGGGCGTTATTTCTTTCCTGTATACCATCACTGCATGGAATTTATGGTTCCATGTTGCACCTGGAGTGAAATATTTGAGAGGAAACCAAGCGCAACGCGAAACCTCCAAGAGAAGAGTGGTTCGGATGCTCATTATTGTTACCTGTGCCTTTGCACTTTGTTGGCTCCCACCACAAGTGGTCCACATGATGACAGTCATTCACGCATCAAAGTTTGGGCTACAGCCGATTGTCGGCTTTGTGTGTTTCTGGTTTGGACATGCCAACAGTGCCGTTAACCCATGGCTGTACATTTTTCTGAGCACGAAGATAAATATGGCATTTACTAGGATCGTCAGTAGAAAAAGCAGCCAGTTGCCTTCAAGTCTCACCATCCAAACATCGGATGCCGTCCTACCACCTGAATAAGAAGCAATCCAGAAAGAATCAAGAATATGATCTCTATTAAAACATGAAACTTTTATTACCAATTTGGTAACTGTAGGATAGAAACTTGCTTAAAACGGATTTGTGTATTACTAATTAGATAATTTGATACAAACACCTATAAACGGTTTTTCAGTGCGTAAGAAACAAGGATTCTACTTAAAAAGGTAAATATTGTTAGGAGGAGGGTATTGAGGCTTATTAGCTGCTCTCTCGAGGACTTCGAGCGTGGTCTCTGCGGACTCAGCAGCTGGTAATGGAGCTTAGTTAAATAAAGGAAATTCGCACGGAAGCCCTCGATATGATTGCAATTTTGCAAGCGCAAAGAGCTATAGCCCTGGAAAGTTTCATCGAAAATCCCTAATCTAACATTTCCAATTGAAAACTAAGACCTGAAACTTTGGAGATTCTACTGGAATGTAGAATCAATTAGTTACGTGTGGCCTGTAAATTGGTCACCAACTTCGAGGTGGCGTTGATAAAGAAACTCTGGCAATGTTCCGTGCTTAGCCGTACCCTACGTACGTAATAGGAAAAACCGAAAACTGCATCGGATATCAAATCCGGAAACCCGTTAATCAATAAACTCAATCTATTCACGGGCAATTCATCAGCTTTTTTTTGGAAGATCAAACTATAACTACATAACTATAAATGTAACTGTGAACAACACTATATTAAAAAGCTGCTTTCCCTGAATCGCGGCCATAGCTCAGAGAGCTTTGCTGATTGCACGGTTGAACGACACGAGGGATTCCGCGTACCTAGCCTCGCAAGAAAGGCTATTCCACAATGTGGTGCCACTTTAACTTGAACTATTTTTCAAATAATTTGTGCATGGTAGTTGAACATTATGTTTATTTTTGGAGTCCTTCAGGTTGTTTCTTGTATCGTGCTCAGAGAATTTCCATGCTAAATAGTATAAATCATTTCTGTTCGTATATAAACGAGTATTGATTAACGCTAATACACGATTTCAAGTAACCCTGACGTTTTCATCCTTCTTGTTGAGAGTGTTTAAAGGCAAAGTTTTAGTACATGGTAAAGAAATGCTAAAATAAGAACAGCTGGGACCAGAGTGTTTGTAAAGTCTACACTAGTACATGTAAGCTAACAAAATTTGTTATTAAGAGATGTACTTACCATTATCGTTGATTTTCAGTCTTGATCAACTGTTAGTCCGTGAAAGCGTGTTAGGCTGTAAAAGCGTCCTTAGCAACAATATGTAGTAATGTTTCTGTGGGGGATTCCCTATCCCTCGACTTCTCATTTGTCTACAACTGCGTGGCATGTCATTGTACGGGATACAAACCACTGTCTATCCTTTTGTGAATACCAGTTTTTACTGTGCTAACATACAAGTCAAACATTCTTGAGCAAAATCGTTTTACTTGGGGCCCACTTAGGTCACTCGGACTTCAGCTCACGACCCAAATTGTAAAACCCGGAATTTTTTTAGAATATACACAATGTGATGCGTAACACCCCTTGCGGGACACCTTTTCTGGTATTGGCGTGACACTCTTGCGCGATTATTTACCTACTGATAACTGTCAGAAGCGTTGCGTGATTTTGTGACGTAAACAATATTTCAAGCCATGTGGGTAAAAATCCGGCTTTCTCATTGATTTTCTTTGCTGCAATTTCATTAGTTAGGCCCTAAATAAGCGTGTTTCTAGTACTCTTCCTAGAAATTCTTTTAGAATGATTTTGGTTAGATTTTTCTCATTTTTCGCTCATTCATGCTGAAAGCAAAGAATGAGGTATTGTGGTGAAGCAGATGTTGACGGAAGTTGTATTCCGTAGACGGAAGTTGCATTGCGGACTGTAAACGGAAGTAGTCTCGCATGCTACCCCTCCCCACTTAATGAAAGTCAAAATCAATTTCGATGAGCTCAGAAACTCACGTGGCAAGAAATAAAACGTTTTTATGGGTTAATTAAAATAATAACCTCAAATCACATTTCCGAACTTCTAAAATGCAACTTGAATCGAGAAGCCGAAATGTTCACATCCGTAGCGGGTTCATTTCAACACACGCTGTGACCACGCAAAAGAGCATCAGGGGTAGTCATATTGGTAAGCCGTGCATTTGCATTCGTCTTCAGTTAGTATAAAGTAATCATTGCTCTATCATTGTGCTTGTCCTCGGGAGCTCTTCGACATACAGTTCACACATCAATCACAGCGGCCAAGATACTTTAAAATTTTTTTTTCGAGCTTCAATATTTCGGTCTGGACTTGAGGCTCGCTCGAACAAAAACAGCAACACCAATCCGGTCAGTACAAAATGCAGACTGTAGACTGCAGGCTGCAGACCGGATACAAAGTGCAGACTACAGACTGCAGACTGGGCACAAATTGCAGACTGAGAATTTATACTGTTTTTTCGTCTGGCACGTGATAACATGTCATCTTCCAACTTACCGAGCGTCACGCAATCGCTTTCCGCGTTCATCTTTCACAATTATTTGCACAGTTGTGGAATATTCCTTGCCCGCGTCTTGATCACAATCGTTCTTAATATAATTTCAAGCCATCATGTAGTCTTCTCACTTTGCGCGCGAGTTGGTTGGTGTGATGTCTGCACAGAATTTACCAAGTTAATTAAAGTAGATGTAGATATAAGTGTAAATGAGATGTCACTATTGAATATTTAACACACGCAAAATTCGAGAAACAATTGACAGCTTTGCACGTGGTCCGTTCGTTTCATCTTTTCAACCGAAATGTGTTCATTTTGTTGACAAAAATTCGGACCAAGACCAAGACTGTTCCTTCGACTTGATATATTATCAACGTTCAAGGGTATACACACTCTGATTTTCACATATGTGCCTTATATTGTTATTAGCTTACATGATGAACCGGCGAATTTTAATAGGGAAAAGCGTAGCGTTGCGCATGCTTTCGTGACTGCCCATTTGTTTACTTTTCTGGTGGTTTTATCTCTTGTCTGTTTGGTGACTAGGCAAATATTGTTATGTGAAAATCAGACTATACGGAACGATTGTGGCTGCTTTGGTAAGAACCAAAAGCAATGGCCGCTTTGTTAAAAAAAATATCAAGAAACGGGCTAGGAATATTTCACAATAGTGCAAATGATCGTGATAGATGAGCATTACTAATATTTTGCTGCCAGAGCAACATTTGATGCCTGATTATGTCCACCCAGCCCACCCTTTGTCCTACAAACACACACACACACCAACGAAAAGGACACTGTCTACCTAATGACCTCTGCCCATCCCACATCCGGCCCGCACAACCTTTTTTCCAATTTTCATCTCGATGAATGGACAAGTTTTCTGATTACAGAACTGCCCAAAATTAAAAGAAAAATTTTTCCAAAAGTCTTGAAAGTTCACATAAACCAGTCTTGGCTCCGAATGGAAGATCTTGAATTACATGGGAGCTTGTGATAAAGTCTAGGAAATGCGCTAATTTTGCTTCAGGTATGAATGACTTCGTTTGTGCATTGGTAGGCACCAGTTTTCCACTGCCATGGACTGCAGCATGCTGCCTAGCGACCTTAAACAGATAACTTGTCAGGCCTGGGATCCACTGTTGAATTGTTGCCAAGCTAACCCTATCTGCCATTATGGACAACATCAGAATCCCACTCGTTTGCATTTTTGTAGCAGTTTGCCAGCGTGTACATCAATTCTTTATCCAAACCACTTGAACAAGTGTGATTTCCAGTTTCATTTTGTTTTGAGGACATAATAGATTCCCAGAGAAGATTTGGGTCATTAGGCGCTATTTCACCAAAAACAGCTGAAACCGCTTGCTTGGCTTTGCGCTCATGCAGTCGTCTGGTCCTTCCACTGGCATCGATCGTTCCAAGGTGTCTTTAGGGTGTACCTAATAGGACTAACGTCTCGACTTCTTAAGAAACTGTTAAGGTGGTCAATAGGTTCTTCCGACTTCATTCCTGTAGTGCTTGTCTCGGTTTCTTCTAGGAGGGTTGATGGTAAATATAATGACGTTTCTTGCTCTAGTAAGTCATGTGCTAGCACCGAACAAGGAGTACTTGCAGCAATTGTAAGGTTACACATCACGCCCTAGACAAGGACGCAAAATAAATATAACGTAAACTGTATTAAAAAAAATTAATTGGGTACATAATTATCAAAGTTAACCAACACTTAGACAAAGATCAATAATCCCTCCTGATCTTTGTTGCCTTTATTATGGGCTAAAAATAAAACCTTTTTTGCTGCCTTCATTTATGATAAAAAGTGCCTAATTTATTACATAAAATACCTTTTATTATGACAAATAAGTACGAACTTTAAAGCGAGTGGTAAAGGAACCCGGAGTGGTATATTGGAAACCCGAAACGTTTTTCTGGGCGTTATTCACCTTATCCTTAACCTTGAGAAAATCACATGAACTCGTATCCCTGGCGGTATAAGTGGGAGGGATGCGTGTGTGTAGGTGGGGGCAAGTGGAAGCAAAAATGCAGTTTTTTTTAAATGAACCCTTTATTCTTAAAAGAACAATTTGGCCTCAGCTTATCATCACGGACTACGTGGTCTTTAACTTGTTGCCACTGCTTCAAGTTCTCAGATTTTGGTGAGAATAAAAATAGAAAATCCGCTGAATAAATTTCAACTGCGTGCAGACGCAAGGGCGACATAAAATGCACGGGGTATTAAACCTCTTCATTATCTGCGGAACTCAGGAAAAACTGACGTAGAAGGCACAAAATAAGCATATGGCATTGTTTTCTGGGATACCAGCACACAGTCTGAGGTCTACGAAATCGGTTACTTTGTGCTCTCTATCCCTATTCGTTACATTTTAAGGAAAGGCAGCAAGTAAACGGGGCCCGCTCATGCAGACTTTGTGATGATAAGGTCCCTATCCATTTTTTTTTTTATCTTTTTTGCCCCGCGGGCTGTTTGGTGCCACTGTTAATAACACTATTTCCATTGAGTGCCAGCTCAGAACTTACAGAAGTCTCAATGGTCTCAATT